GCTTTTTTTTGGTCCCATGCTGCATTCTTTTCATCTTGGGAAAATGTGTACAATGAAAACAGATTAGCTCCAATTTAATCAACAAATTTGAGATGTTATGGGAAATGGGCTTACACTAGGTTGGGACAGAGTTATAAAACCAGAGCAGTGCACCAGCATACTCTTCAAGGTTCAGAATAAGCTAATATAATTAAAATTAAATCAGATAATGCTGCTTATAATTATTTCTCATACATTTTCTAGCAGAAAATAATATTCTGGTAGCTTTAAACTTTTCCCAGACTCAGGCTGAAATTTTGTTTGTTGCATTGATTTCTATATGTCTATTTAGAAATATGTTTTATATCTCTTGAGAGGAACATCTTTTTTAGGAGGTTTTTTTAAATTCTAGTGCCTTCTGTATATGGACAGAGCTTTGCAATTTAGCAGGAAAAAAAAATGGAGAAAACAATCATACCTTTTTATCACCTCTAGGAGTGTTTGGTAAAACCTTCAAGTGTCTGGAAAAAAGCTGTTCCGTCAATCTTTCTTGATACTTCTTAAAAGTTGGGGGGAATAACCTCAAGATTGGGTTTGTACCAAGAGTATACTTCAGGTATTGATACCTCTGCTCTCCTAGGTAGGTCTTTCCTTTGGTAAGCAGCTAAGTATGCTTCAACTGCAACTAGAAGATGTTGGGCAAAATTGTTTTACAATTGCTCCTGCGAGCAATCAGTGCAATTTGCTGGAAATGAGAGGAGGTCATATTGACCATGCCCTCAGAGCTTCCTGTGCTGGAGCCCATGGAAGTCAAGGAGAATAGGGAATAACATTAATGCACAGCTGAGGGGAGAAAGAGCTGGAAAAAGATGAGTGAAATCAACTGCAGATTGGTCGGATATGTGGGAAATGTTATAGAAATGCAAAACTCCCTGAAGAATTATGCCATAAATTACTCATTTTACAGGTGGTTTGGTCTTTTGGTTTTGGTTGGGTTTTTTCCTCCCTAAACTTTCTCTGGCTCTGCTGTTCTGAGCCTACTAATTTTGAGGCAGAAACCTATTAGTAGCTCTGTCTCAGGGCAGTAAGGAACTTGCCCTGGTGAGTAATGATCCTGTTACAGGTTTGGAAATGGTTTACCAATTTCATGTAAACATCGATCAACCTTGATTCAAGGGATGGCACCATGAATCAGGTTTTTTCTTTCTTCTTTTTTTTTCCTTTGGAGAATTGGAATTCTCTTGAGATCAGCTATACTTCCACCCATGGCATGTGTCTCCACTTCCTTGGCTTAAAATGGATTGTAAACTTATCACTGCATTGATGTTTGGGATGGAAAGTATTAATTATAGGATTCTTCTGTCATGGAACTCCCATGGGAAAATTAGGATCTTGATGTAAAGTGAAAGGTTTGCGTGGTCTCATGTGAACATGGCTTTAGATGGATGTCCCAAGAAAACTTGAGTAGATAAGTAAAAATTGTAAACATATGTGATGTACATAGCAAAATAATTACCCATTTACTGAATAAGGCAGAGATCCCGCTTGAGAGGGAGGGGAAAAAAATATTACCTGTATATGAAGACATGGGAAACGTGAACTTCAGCATTTCTTAGCTCTTGATTGCTTACATTTCTGATGTTGATGTGCTTCCAGTTTGTGTTGGTGTCTGGGATTATTAAAGATACAGGGATGTGTTTAGTTTTTGTCTCCCAACTTCCCTCAAGAATGAAAGCATTAACATTAAGACACCATTTATAATCTCATTTTGGCAATCCCAAAAACTAGGGATAATAACCAGATTTCGTTATATGTAGGACTATTATGTATGCTGTTTATTAGTGTATGTTTATGTAATAGTCAGGTGAGGGTGCCCATCCCATGGCCTGCAGATCCTATCTGGTGAACAGAACAAGCTGTCCAAGCTGCTCTGTGTTAACATCTTTCTCCTTTGATAAGAGCAGGGGAATGGGTTGCAAGAGCTCACCAAAACGCAGGCCTGTGCTCTTCACCGGGTTGGTGAACTCCATGGGGTGTCAAGTCATATGTGAAGGGTGCTTGCATAGCCCTTCCTGAAGCAGCATGTGCATCTGTACCTTGAGGGGAACTGCTGCCTTTTGCTCATATATCAGTCTTTTTGCACATAAGTGACAAAAAGAAGCTGGGATATATGGACACTCTTCCTCAGTGTGTGTAGAAAAGGTCGTGTGATCAAGCAGGGCTCTGAAGCTGTGTTTCTACTGCTCCTCCAGCATGTACAGATTTATGACTGGAGACTAAAGAGACTCAAATAACTGAACATTTTCCTTATAGAAATATAAAGTAAAGAAAGAACTAGGAATTAACAGGAGAATCCTGCAAGATTATATGGCTGTGAAGGACAGTAATACTAAATCCACTAAGAGAAGTTGTAAACAAAGCAGGAATCATTATCCTGACTTACCAGCCAGGACAAGGTCATAAAATGTGAACAAAATACCAGAAGACAGGCTTGTCTGCATTTTTCCTACCCTCTGATTAGTGTGTTAGTCTGTTTATGGTTGAGTTTTATGCTTGCTTTATGTTGGTTAAAAACACGAAAAAAGCGGGGTGGGGAAAAGCTACACAAAGTGCAAAACAGAAGTGAACAGGACTTTGCAATGCTAGAAAGAGCAAAAGAAGGGAATCTCTCTGCAAAGGCACTGATGGAAAAGCCATCTGAAATGATAACTGTACAGCCTTTGAAACTCTCGTTAGGAATATTTGAGAATGCTGCTTGAAGCTACATGACCCATTAGCATCCTCTGCTGACCAAAAAAAGGCATTTTGGGAACGGACAAGGACATCTAGGTGTTTTAAGATAATCTGCAGTTTTAAGCAGAGGTTTCCTGGTATGACTTGGAATTAATCAAGGTTAAAGGAAAAGACAACACTGTAGCAGGCCTGTTGTCTCATACACTCAGCTTTCAGAATGCATTTTAGTTACCCCTCCAGAAACGAAGGGTGCAGGTGCAGAGGCACTATGAAGAAACATCCCTTTGGGGGTGAAAAGAATTTTTTAGAGAGCCCCGGTACACCTGTATTCTCCCCCAAGAGTCACAGTAAACTGATTGAAAAGTATGAGCAAATAGGTGCCCCCAAGTGGGGTTTGGGGGAGGGGAAGAATAATCCCCCCCTACACACTTGTTCATAGCTTACCTGACAAAAAGATCCTTCTTAATACATGCACATGGAATAATATATTTAAAGCACCTATATATTTTTTTTCCAAACCCAAAGAAAACATTTCTGTGTGAGTAATTGAAAAGCAAATGGAGAGCCAGGATGAATCACTGATTATCTGCTATGGAGGTAGGACAACACAGCATTTTAATTTGTTAAAAAATAATAATCTGGAAATCCACACTTTAAGAAAAAGCATCAGTTTGGTTGGTGATTGATTCTGGAGGAGAGGACAGGTCATGCATCGCAGGTCTCTGCTGGAAGCACTTCTCCAGCTCTCCACGGCAAAATGGATGGGCCCTGGGAGAGCTGCGAGGGAATGAAGCACTGGGCTTTGGAGCACCAATGGAAGAGATGAGTATTCTGTCACGTGCAGTGCAAGAGGCCAAAGCATTTGTAGAACAAAACAGCTGGGGAGCTATGGCTCTATGGGAAATGCAATGCAGTGCAGAGTAAACTAGTTAGCAAAGGATCTGAGGCAGACTGGGAGAGCAGATAGGGGAAGAAAGGAAAACTGGGTATCACCAGTAATATTAACATCTTTCCTGTGAGCATGCTGCTTCAGTTGTAAGAAAAGGTAAAGAAATCCAGAAAAATGCAATTGGTTTATCAGGTCAAGAGGGTGTTATCAAGCCTGGTGACTGGAGGACTGGTTGATCTGGTCTCAAGGAAAATGTCTGAGTTGACTCTGTGTCACACAGAAGTTACTTTTCTTTATGTGTTGATAAGAGGATTACTGACACTATGGATCACTGAAGCACTCTTCTTCTAATCCATCCAAAAGGGAGGAAGAAGAGTTGAACTATCTTGAAAAGATTTTAAATGGGATCAAACAGCACTATGGCCATGGAGGTCACTGGGAAAGCTGATGGGTTTAAGTAGAAACAGACATCAGAATTAAACCCCTGTAGAATCTCTTTTACCATAACTTAATTTGAATGAAATCAGGGTAGTTAATCATAGAATCATAGAATCATAGAATGTTTAGGGTTGGAAGGGACCACTAGTGGTCATCTAGTCCAACCCCCCTGCAGCGAGCAGGGACACTGCTAACTAGATCAGGTTGCTCAGAGCCCCATCCAACCTGGCCTTGAATGTTCCCAGGGATGGGGCCTCCACTACCTCTCTGGGCAACCTGTTCCAGTGTTTTACCACCCTCATTGTAAAAAATTTCTTCCTTACCTCTAGCCTGAACCTACCCTGTTCTAGTTTAAAACCATTTCCCCTTGTCCTGTCACAGCTGGCCCTACCAAAAAGACGTTCCCCATCTTTCCTATAGGCCCCCTTTAGGTACTGGAAGGCCGCAATCAGGTCTCCCCGTAGCCTTCTTTTCTCCAGACTGAACAAGCCCAACTCTCCAAGCTGGAGTTACATTTGCCTACCCTGTAAACAGCCTGCCTTATTGCTTGGATAGATTTCATTGCACAGCAGTGTGGAGAGAGACCTTTTTACATTGCAGGAGACAGTCTTCTCCTGGCAGTCAGAAAGCAGATTTGATACCCCCAGACCGAAACCAAACTGAATAGCCTTACTCCAAGCAGAGTCTGGAAATTCAGAGTGGCACAAACAACAATTTAAGCAGGAAGAAAGTAGTGCAGAGAAGGTGATTGTATTTAAGGGAGCTTTTCACTGAAAAGGGAGAATCTGGATTGTCCAGAAGGATGAGTCAGTCTGAAAAAAGAGACAAATTTTGCATGTTCTATTGACTTGTTTCAAATAATCCCATCAATGGAAAAATAGCAACATTTCTTCATGGATTTACCCTACATATTCCCGTTAAATGTCCATGAATTTATTTCTTTGTCTTTCTCCTATTTTAGCTACGAGCCAGGAAGATGAAGTGCTGCCTTCTCTCTGTTGCGTTGGCCATTCTGCTGTTCATTGTCATAATCATCACGGTCTCTGTCAAGCACTGATCTGGTTACGGTTTCCACAGGTAAAAGCCTTTAACTAAGTCTTTTATCATACTCTGTAGGATGGTTGGGAGACAGTTTAGGAAGCTGATAACGGTAAGAAAAATTTATCTTAGCTTGCATATTCAGGTCTGGTCTATGAAAATAATTTCTGTTAAAGGGTATTTGAGCTTGGAAATAGCATCCTTAGTGGATCCTTAAATGTAAACCAAGGTGGTATTCAAACAAAATATTGTATTACCCTTTTCTCTGCTGTTTTTGTTATGTTTGATTTTACATGGATCTCAGCAATGCTAATTAATGAATCCTAAATCCGTATGAATTAAAGATGCAGAAGTGGTGTTAAAGACCCCAGACTGAAACAGGGTCAGGGGCAATCCAACATCCCACAGATATGCTGAGATGTTCCAAAATGCACCTACCTGCTGAGATGTTCCAAAGAGACCTTGGAGCCAAGCCCTCCTGAGGAGCAGGAAGACAAACAACGGGACATTGTAGTATAGACAAAAATAAAAGTGGGTTTCTGGTGAGCTTTCCTAAATCCACCCCTAAAAGGAGTATTGATCTGTAGTAGGGAGGCTGGGTTGTAACCTTACCAAGATAGGTGAGATATCAAAGCAACTTAATCCCACTAGTGACATTTAAGATATAACATGTTTCCTTTGTAAAGAATGTGTTTTAAATGCAAAGCATAAGACACACAAAAAGGTTATTATTTTCCTTTTTTTTTTGCCTCATTACCCTAGGAGAATGACTCATAAGTTATTTCTGATAATCTCAGTCTAATACAAAGCATTTCTGAGTGTCTGCTTCTTTAGAAGTTTGCTAGGCCATTATGCTAGGAGACATTAGATTTACAGAATTTCTACCCCTGAAAGGGCTCTGGTATTCTGGGTCTGCTGTGCCTCCTGCCGTGGCAGGGTTTCTGGCTAGTAAAGCCTGAACCCAAGTGTATCAATGGGAATTTTCCTCTGCAAACAGCAAGTAGGAGGGCTGAGGCAAAAAGCAATGGAGGGTGGGGACAACTTTTGGGTTAGAGACCTCTTGTGTCCCACAGAGACTTGCATAAAGCATGTGTGATATCAGTCCTGTACTTAGTAGATACTTCATTATACTGAGGCTCATTGGGTCCTTTTACAGTAATTTAAGCAGAGATTTCTTAGCCTGAACTACCCTCTGGAACTACCGTAGAGAAAGCACAAAGGATTGATAGATATTGCTCATTGTTTTGTTTTACAAGAGTTCAGTGTTACATGACAATGCTATCCTTCCACCTGAGGATGAAGTCATCACCCTCTAATGTGCCTTCTTCCTACATCATGTTCTCAACTGAAACTAGCAGGGTTGGTTAAAAACAATCACCGAAAGATGATTCTTCACACAAGGCGTACTTAAGCTTTGGAACTCCTTCTAGTATGCCATTGTGGATGCCAAAATTTGTGTAGAAGAAGAAATTGAAGAAATCCATGAAAGAAAAAATCTGTTAAAGGCTGTAAAGTACCATCTCACTGGTTTTGGATCAGGATGATCATTAGCCCTACATAATTATATGCTGGGAGAAATAGCTGTAGATATTTTTCTGCACTTGTGTGCTAACTTAGGTGTTTGGCCAGCACTGAAGCAAGGATATCAGTGAGGTGGACCTTTACGTTGATCAGTTATGGATGTTATGTGATGTGTTCTGCTGATTTAAACCTAGAGCAACTACAATAATTTTAGTTGCATTGTTCTGGTTTTACTCTGCATTAGTCTGGTTTGAAAATGTGATCCATCATGGTAATCTATAATATAATAAAACTTCTTTTATATACAGTTAAATATTCTTATCTGCTAGAAATCACAAATCTTATCAGCAGTTGACTAAATCTAGACACATTTTAATCTAAATCCCCTAAGTGGAGAAAGTCAGAGAACCAAAAATATTCTTACAATAAAACTCCACTGGAAAACTAGGGTTAAGCTTCTGTTAAGAGATCCGTATCTTGAGGGAAGTGAACCTAGGGATAGTAATGAAAGCCCTAGGAAAAATATAATGCTCTACTTTTCATCATCAGCTGTGAAACTAATTATTAAACTTCTAAAGCATGAGTTACTCTCCAGCAATACAAATGTAGGCAAAACCTGCACTGAGTTTTATTGGAACAAGTATGCTTTCTGATCATTATGAAATGTTCTTAATCTAGATAGACCCAAAATAGTGTGCAGCAGATTTCACATTTATATTTTGAAGATTTCCAAACCAGAATGTATTCCGAATTTCCATGTCCATAGTGGACACTTTTTCTATCCTGAATTGCAACACAAATGGATTTTTAAATATCAGTGGATTTAAAGTTTCAACTACCTCAACAAACTGTTTCATATAAAACTGTCATACATACTTTAGGGAGAGAGAGAACAGCTGGGTTTTAATCTGTAACAACTTCACATGACCGTTCAGAGAAAATAAAAGGAGGAAAGCCAGCTACCTGGAACTAGTTACTAGTTACTGGCACAGAACACATAACTGAATAAAATCCCAAGTTTGGTAATGACTGGCTAGAACTTCCATTTAACATGTCTGCAAAAAGGTTGCTCTGTGCTGGATCAGTAAGGATCCAAAATAAACACAACCAGCCACCCCGTTCAAGTGGTTTAAGTCCCATTTGCATGATATTCAAGGTAGGCTTCGTTAGCTTTCACAAGTGCAGCCACAGTGAGAAATCTGAAGGACACTATTCAGTAAATTAAAGAAATTATGCCATTAGTATCTGTGATTACTAATTATCATTATGATCGTTAACATGTAAAGTCTTCTTCCTTTTTTTTTTGTTCTTGTTTCTACTTTTGCAATAGTGATACTGAATCGATGGTTCTTCTCAAAAAGCCAAAAATAGCCCCCTTTTTTTCCCCTCTGCAAATCAGACGTGACTTTTTCAGACAAGCCCATCCTTCCATAGGAAAGATCACTTTATGAATCTTGAAAAGCAAAAAGCACATTTTCCTGTGAGTTTCTCAAGCAGTGGTGGCATCACTGGGTGCTGTCTCAGTGTATGAAGAGGGACTGGCTGTTCAGGAGAGTTCTGAGCCTTGACTTCTGCCCGTCGAGGCCCCTGCCGTAAGTATGTCACTGCTCCCTTGGGGCAGTTTTGTCTGGCAGAGAGAGAGAAGAGCATCTATGGAGGACGCAGAGAAACTCCTGGGGAATTATGTCTGTATGTTTGTTTGCTGACACCTCGGGAAAATAGCCCAGGAACTTTTGGGTCACATTGCTCACATTGTAGCAATGTTGCAGCTGCTCTTTTTGTTCTTATGGTGCAACATCAGTAAACATCTTAAAAGGACAGTATTGCAGTAGCAGCCTGAAAGAAGTCCCTCCTTTAATGGTGTCTTTGTCTAGTGTGAGCCTAGATAGACCTTCTGTGTCCTTCTTTTGACTCCTTTGGTTGAGTGCACAATTACACAAAGTGACAATCAAGACTGTTGGAAACCTAAGACTTAAGCATTCTTTATGGGAAAAAAAGAGGTGACAAACTTTGAGAAAGATGCTACATGTATTTGACAGCTGGAAAATATGCGTTCCAATGACAGCTTAATTATCTCAGTCTATTTAGCCGAAGAAGGAGAGAATAAAAGATGACTTCACTACTCTGCACCCTTTTCTTGGAAGAAGTCATTGCAGCAGAAGGTGCCTTCCCCATTTCCCCCACTTCAGTCAGACAAAGACTACTGGACTGAGCACAAGGACTTTGTTATATAAGTCCTTAAAACCTGTGGACTTACTATTTTTTCCAGCTTTAGAATCTGTCTGTGAATAGAGGCGAGAGCCCAGAGACATAAACCAGCATTTTCCTTCCTAGCAGCTGACTGAACGGTTGACGGCGATGCTCAGCTATGGAAGAGCAGAACAACAGGAAAATACACAAGTGATCATTCAGCAGAACATTCTCCCAGCCTTCAGCAATTTCAAGCTCAAAGGCTTCTTGATCCAGAAAGCAGTTATTTAATCTTTAACATCCATCGATGCGTTCCTTTCTTGTTAATTTAACCATCATCTTGAACTATCATAAACTTTTAAAATGTGAAATATCCTGAGCAAGAAGTTCCACTCCAATTACAATCAACAATAATCTTTAATGTACAGCTGAAAATCCATTTTGGCCAACATCTCCAGAGCAGGGCTGTAGTCCATACGAAAAAGCAATAATCAGGCTCCAGGTTTCTGTTTCCGGAATATGCAACTGTCTTGTTTTGAATTTAAATTGAATTAATTACTATAGAAAACTAGAAAACTTTGGTTTTATTTGGATTTTTCCTCCCTCCTTCGTAATCACAGTTTTCCTTGCCTAATTAATTTATGGGCTCATTATGAGGTTAAATGTTTTCTGTAACCTGACCAATGAGGATGAGGCTGATTTTATACAGTCTGCTTTTGGTGTTTGTTTTTTTCTTATTTTCAGACCTTGAGATTTTTGGGGCTGGAATTTTGGTGTTTTGTTTTTTTTTTTTAGTATCTCATGCACTATCATATCATAGAATCATAGAATCATAGAATGTTATATATATATATCCCTGCGTGCTATACCTCTGGTTCCTTGCAACGCAGTAGGAATCATAAAACCTGGACTTGTAGTCACTGCGTGTATTTGGAGGGGCAGAGAAATGCTCCTTCATGCGATCTGACCCAGAGAAGTAAAGAGCATGTTCATTTCAGAGTTTTAAGTCTCAGAATTTGAAACCAGGACAGCAGAATAGCTTTCTGCAAAACAGGATTTTGCTAGGTCAGCCTCAGACTCTTCTGATGTTATTAATGTTGCACCTTTCCCTCGTAACAGCAGATATTCAGGTAGGGCATAAAGTACCATGTGGAGCCAGGATGAAGTTCTTCCAAGGCAAGACACATCAATAACCCACCAACAAATTCAATCAGAGCCCGAATCTGTTGGGGTCATGAGGGCTGTAGGTGGCAGAGAGGGAAAGACTGACAAGTGTATTTGTGGTATTTGGCATTTACAGTTCTGTCA